ATCAAGAATATGTCCACCGTTATGAGTAGAAGAAGAAACATGTTGTGTGAGAGATCTATTATTCAGCATATCACAAAAATCAACCGCGGTAGAGTCGTTGGAATCCTCAACATGAAAATTAAAATCTCCCCAAATAATAGTGCAACACTTAGTCATCATCAACTGGTCCAGAAATAATCCAAATTCTTCCATAAACTTTTGACACAATTTGCTATTGGGCGGGCGGTAAATTGTAATAATCCTAGTTTCCTTGAAAGAAAACTGTAGAGAACAATCCAAAATTTCAAAAGAATCAAAACGGTCATGACGGATTTTCTTACACTTAATAGATGACTTAAATATAAGTGCTACGCCTCCTCCATGTGAACCGCGAGGGCAATGTTGTATAGAATATCCATCAGGTACAAAAGCTGGGATTGTCGATGAGTCCGAACAGTCATTATTCAGCCACGTTTCAGTTATTCCACAAATATCAATAGAATTTTCAAAAATATAATCAGATAAAATTGTTTTTTTATTTCTTACGGATCTGGGATTAATTAATCCAAACGAAGTTGTTAATACTGTCGCTTCATTTTCGACCGCCTTTCTAATTTGTATAAGATTGTTGTTTATCTTCTGTTTTGTTCTAAAGTTTTTGATCTGTTTGTGATTTTTGATAGAGTTTTAGGTAAGCTGGATGAGATTGCTATGATTAATGTTAATATTCAGTGGATTAATGTTTAGAGTTTCATATGGTCTGTTGGTGGTGATAACTTTTAAATGTCTTTGATTTCTCCCAATTACTTCATTGTTGTCGTATATATAATCATTCAAAGCGACTGTTTTATTTTCGACGGGCCATGCATTAAGACACAATTGTGTATTGTCTGGGCGTTGATCGATTTGTTCAGAAATTATTGGAATAGTAACAAGATTGCCCCTGTTTACTGTTCTGTGTCTTTTTACTGTATCACTTCTAATAGTAGTAGTTGGATTTAAAACATCCATCTTTTTAACCCACTGCTTTCCACTCCTCACGCCTCTATTATTATTATTAATATTATTATTATTATTATTACTAAAACAGTTTAATATTAAATAAATGAATTGAACAGATTGGCGTAAGTTGTTCTACTGAAATACTTCAACTTCAATTGTTGATTTCTCAAAACAGTTTTTTTCGAGTTACTAATTTTAGTCATGCTATATCTCTGAAAGATTTTCTTGAAACTTGGAATATAACTTACTATATAATATTAATAACCAGGGCTGGCCACGAATAAATTGATGGCGACCAGATGACTGCTCGCGCAAATTTAGGTTTGGGCGAGCAATAAAAATTGCTCACACAAAATGTTTGCGTGAGCACACATTTTGTAACATTGTTTCAATTTAAAATCATAGAAAATTGCTATTCCTGGCACAGAGTTTGCAGTAAACGTGTGACCATCGCTTACTGTTTTTGACAGTCATACTCTTTAGTTTAAAACCAATTTCCTTATGGATTTCTTCACTTCACCCCACGACATAAATGTGGATAGGGCAATCAGGTTTCCTTTGGCCATTGTTACGCTTAGATTGAAAATTATACGACTGCACAATGGAATAAAAACTGAAGTTCTGATAAAATAAGAAATACCGATAAATATTAGTTTGAAACGTCTTCATTTAGCGTTAATGCCTAATGCCGGATGTAAACATTCTTTACTTTAGACTCGATTATCACGCGTTTGTTACTGGTGTTCGTAGGAAAATCAGTCATGACGTTCAGGTCTAAAGTGTATTTTTAGTAACACGAGTGGCGAGTAACTTTATAGCCAATCAAATTTAAGGAGGAAATGCTGTGTGCAGCTGGGTGAATCTCAGTTTGACATACGAATTTATCACGCTATTTACATTGTTGGGTTAAAGTTTCGGCAATAAACTTGTCAATATTTTGATTATTTTTACAGGTTTTTCTTAAAATTTTGCGCGAGCAACGAACCGCTTGCGTAAAAGTAGATTTACGCGAACGCGAGCAACTGCTCGCGTCTCCTGGCAAGCCCTGATAACTATGTGCAATAGGACAGGCCACGAAATGATAAAAAATAGCTACCTGTCGCCAGGGACAGGTAGCTTTTCTTCATACCTGTCGCTTCAGTAAATAACCTGTCTCTCTCAATTATCAAACTCAAAGACTAATCAAAACACATATTCATACATGTAGGTACACACACACATGGTTAGGTCTTTGACGTACATTACATTGCTCTATATAAATATCGTAATATGAAACCTTTTTATTTCTTCGACATCGGAATGCCTAAAAGTTCTTCAAAGTCGGCGAATCTGCGTTGGCTCAGGGATTCGTAGATTCGTACAATTCCATCATCCTTATCTACGTGAATTCCGCAAAGTATCATGGTACCACACTTCCGTACTAAATCGAATACTTTACCGTTGAGTTGTAGAATTCCGATTTTAAAATATCTGTTATAAATTGAATATTAAAACACAAATCACACCTGTGCATGGCACTGTATTTACATGTACCGCGTGCGGAGGACAGATAACGCCACCTGGAATTCCCTTCTCACATATCCGGATTTCCGATCATTACTGCCTGAGTTATGGCCCTTGATCACTTTGCAAAATCTTGTGACGCTCTAAAGGCTAAAGTTTTCATCTGATTGACTTCAGATTGATACACAGAGTTCAAGATCTTCAGAAGAACAAGTATATTGATTTTCAATGTATTTTTATGACTTGGAACAGCTATATCCATGATATTAAAAGTTTTGTATACAAAACGTTACCATGGGGCAGAACTTTATAAAAAACAAATTCTAATGGTTTTCTGAGTTGTTGCTCTAAATCAGATTTTAGTGTATTATAATTGTTTCATTAACGAAAAAAGTAAAAATATGCGACAACTCTTGTTGACTGCCCGGACGATTTAGCTGCTGTGGGCGTGTGTTTCGTTGCCTGGCAACCTATCTTTGTATTAAGAGAAAAAGAGGAAAAAAACATTTTTCAATAGCATTTACCATGTTAAGACCTGTGTTGAAAAAGGCCAGGCTAAAAATAAGACACCGGAAATACGTCAAACGTAAAAGCCATGAGACAAAGAATTCTATTGATTTTCAGCGATTACCGATAATTACTGCCAGAGTTATGGCCCTTGATCTCTTTGAAAAATCTTGTGTACATTCTAGAGGCTAAAGTTAATATCCGATTGACTTTAAATTTATACACAGTGTTTAAGGTCATGAGACGAAGAATCCTATTGATTTTCAGTGATTTCCGATAATTACTACCAGAGTTATGGCCCTTGATCACCTCGAAAAATCTTGTGGTCGCTCTAGAGGCTAAAGTTAATATTCGATTGACTTAAATTTATACAAAGTGTTTAAGGTCCTGAGACGAAGAAGCCTTTTGATTTTCAGCAATTTCCAATAATTATTGCCAGAGTTATGGCCCTTGATCATTTCAAAATATCTTGTGGATGCTCTAGAGGCTAAAGATAATATCAGATTGACTTGAAATTTATACACGGTGTTTAAGGTCATGAGATGAAGAATTCTATTGATTTTCAGCGATTTCCAATAATTACTACCCGAGTTGTGGCCCTTGATCACTTTGAAAAATCTTGTGGATGATCTAAAGGCTAAAGTTAATATCCGATTGAGTTTAAATTTATATGCAGTGTTTGAGGTCATGAGCCGAAGATTCCTAAAGTTAATATCCGATTGACTTGAAATTTATACACAGTGTTTAACCCTTGTCGGTTCACGTGGGGTCTCCGTGGACCCCATGGACATGTTTTATAGTGTTTTGTTATAACTACGTGGTACAACTTTCTGAAATTTAGTGACTGTCTCCTATACATTTTTATACGCCAACATTGAAATGTGGTCGTATATTGCCGTCGCCCCCGTCCGTCTGTCTGTCCATCGTCCACAATTTCTTGTGAACTGGTTTGCATTAGTGAGATGAAGAAGCCTATTTAATTTCAAGAACTTCTGTTAATTTATCTGGAGTTATGGCCCTTGTTTCACTTTGTTGCCCCTTGTGAATGCTCTAACGACAAAAGTTATCAACCAATCTGTATGAAATATATATGCATCATTTAAATTAGTAAACAAAGAACCTATTGAATTTCAGCAATTTCTAGAGTTATGGCCCTTGTTTCACTTTGTTGAATTTTGTGAACGCTCTAATGACAACAGTTATCATCCGATCTGTATGAAATTTATATGTATTTTTATACGCCCAGATTGATACACAGTGTTTGAGGTCATGAGACGAGGAAGCCTAGTGATTTTCAACGATTTCCGATAATTACTGGCAGAATTATGGCCCTTGATCACTTTGCAAAATCTTGTGACGCTCTAAAGGCTAAAATTATCATCCGATTGACTTCAGATTGATACAGAGTTTAAGATCTTGAGACGAACAAGTATATTGATTTTCAATGAATTTTTATGACTTGAACAGTTAAATCCATGATATTAAAAGCTTTGCATACAAAACGTTAGCATGGGGCAGAACTTTATAAAAACCAAACAAATTTTAATAGTTTTCTGATAATTACTGCGTGAGTTGTTGCTCTTAATCAGATTTTAGTGTATTATGAATGTTTCATTACCGAAAAAAGTAAAAAGATGCGACAACTCTTATTGACTGCCCGGACGATTTAGCTGCTGTGGGTGTATGTTTCGTTGCCTGGCAACCAATCTTTTAAATTAGTAAAACAATCAAGCCTATTGAGTTTACGCAAATTTCCGTTAATTACAGCTAGAGTTATGGCCCTTGTTCCACTTTGTTGAATCTTGTGAACGCTGCAACGACAAAAGTTATCAAGGGAATGTAACCGTCTTGTCGGAAAGGGCAATAAATAAGCACTTTCACGGTGCAATGTTTAAATGTGTAATCTGTTTGTTTGGGGATTGGGGTGCTAGATTCTTGCCTCATTGTTGGTTTGTTGTCTGTGAATTCAATCACATGAAAATCTTTTAATTGAAGTGATGTCTCTTCAGGATATGGATTTGATGATGGATATGGGGATGAAGATGATAGTCTTGGTCCACTCCAAAGACTTGAGAAATATCTAGAAAGTGATAACATTTTTAACAGGTAGGAATGTAAATCATGGCTTCATTTTTATAAGCACATATTTTATTGTGGACATATTATTATAAAGTCATCCTGCCACTAGGGCTGGCAAAAAATATCGATATAGACGATCATCGGCGACAACAGGAAAATATTGATATTTATTTCTTGATATCAATACTCATGATAAAAAAATAAAGGAGCTTCAATAAAATGAAATTAACAGAATGTTTTGTGTCAAAAACTCACTGTCCTATCATTCAAAACACGCTAAAACTAAAAACAAATACACTAAGATACAACCTCCTCACCGCTAATTTTTGCGGTCCTTTACAACAAGGACAATGCATAATTAATTAATTGTTCAGGGGAAATAACTTGATTTTTGAAATGTGGTCGTATATTGTTGTCACCCCCGTCCTTCCATACAGTGTTTTAAAAGGTCATGACTCGAAGAGTCCTTAATTGAGTTTCAGTGATTTCCGATAATTACTGCCAGAGTTATGGCCCTTGATTACTTCAAAATATCTTGTGGACGCTCTAGGGGCTAAAGTTATTATCCGATTGACTTTAAATTTATACAGTGTTTAAGGTCATGAGACAAAATCTATTGATTTTCAACAATATCCGATAATTACTGCCAAGTTCTGGTCCTTGATCACTTTGAAATATATTGTGGGCTCTCTAGAGGCTTAAATTCATCTGATTGACTTTAAATTTGTACACGGTGTTAACTGTGAGACGATAAAGCCCAGTGACTTTTAATGATTTCCGATAATTACTTATGGCCCTTGATCACTTTGAAAAATCTTGTGGATGATCTAGAGGCTAGTTAATATCTGACTTTAAATTTATACACATTGTTTAAGGTCATGAGACGAAGAAGCCTATTTTCAACGATATCCGATAATTACTGCTAGAGTTAAGGCCCTTGAAGTTGATCACCTTTAAATATCTTGTGGATGCTTTAGAGGTCAAAGTTAATATCCGATTGACTTCAGATTTATACACAGTGTTTAAGCTTGTGAGACGAAATAGCCCAGTTAGTTGGGGAAGGATAGTTTTTTTACCCCAAACAAATTGCAAAAGAAACCATTACAGCTGGGTTAGATCATACATATATCGGCTCTATTTCAGTATCGCACCTCTACCAGTTCCCGGGGTCGTAGAGACTTGAAATTTTCAGGGGATGTTCAGGTGGGCTAGCAATGACCTCACACCAAATTTCAGCCGAATCGGTCAATAACTTTTTATTTTACCTTAGTATAGCTTCTATAAGAGATAAGTTTATCCGATTTTGACGCCATTTTGTTTGAATATTTAGGCTCGACGTCATATGTGGATTGTGGGTTAGGATAAGGGTTAGGGTAAGGGCTAGAACCTGTAGATTTCGTCATAGTCTCAAGATGTAGACAGGACTAACCCTAACCCTGTCTTGTTTTTCGAGTCTAAATTTGGTGTGAGGTCATGGCTAGGCCCCATGAATACCCCCTGAAAATTTCAAGTCTCTATGATCATGGGAACTGGTAGAGGTGCGATACTGAAATAGAGCCCATATATCAGACATCATACACTACGCTGCTGGAGTTTGGGACTATAATCGCCGAACATGGTCGGAAAAACTCCCTGTTCCATTGCAGAATCTTGGAGAATCGCTAGCGAAACCCCAGCTAGCCAAATCACCGCGAAATAGGGTGTTTAGCGGTGTATTACAGTATTTTGCTGTGGAACACTGTGAATCGCTTGAGTGCTAAAATTATCCTGATTTTTAAGCATGTTGAAAAAAAAAAGTAATTTATTTCAGTTGAATACAAGGTATGTTAGGGTAGGATTCTTTTTCTAACGCACTGTATACATGCATAACGTGGGTCAAAATGTATGCAAACAATGAACAACTTACAATTTTTTAAACGTATCATTTCATCTTTGTCTACAACTTAGATGTAATCCATCAATTATTGGCTGCTATCAAATCCAAACTTTAGATTAAATAGGATGAGCTTTTTCACATTGCTTCATTACTCGCACCTTCAGTTAATCTAATTCTAAATCAACCATCCATACAGCACAGTGCCATAAATCACCCATATAATAACTTTTCAACTTCAACGGAATTATCAGTGAAATGAAATTCGATCGTTTGTCTGTTACCGCTTGTTATTTCAGTCTGTTATATAGAAGGATAACTCGTGTTTGTCATGTTTGGCATCACTTCCCGTTTCTTCACGTGCTTGTTACAAGTCTCCCATAGCACTGATCTCTGTGTTAAAATTATATTTGGAATGTATTTAACCAGTTCTATCACATATGTAATTATGACTGACACCAATATTGTCCTTTAATGGTCAGTCACGTGGTCAGAAACGCGGGTAAAGATTGGGACTATTCTTACGCTGTGTTATTCGGCGAAAAGTATTTAGCAAGTCTTGACTGTCACCGGTATATAATAATGTATTGACCCATTAAAACGATATGGATGGGAGGGGGTATACTGTGAAGGTCACAAAAGTGACAGCGCCATGTATTTGTTATTTTACAAATTATGTATACATATACATTTAATACTGTACATTTACATGCATTCAACCAAGGAATATTCTTACAGGATTTTGCTCAGCCGTAGAAAATATTCGCTGTTGTTTTAACTGATTTTCTTTGATGTGCTTCATGATGAAAAAATACTAAGCGTAAGTCAGTGATGGGATTTCAAAGTTTTAGTTGTCTAACATTTTCTTCCCAAAAAATAAAGGGACATAACTCTTATCGTTATTTAATCAGGCGTTTTCAAACCACAATTAAGAATCACGTGTCAACAAAATATTCAAACTCATACGAAATAAAAAAAATAGGTGCACCTCATTATTTTTCATATTTAATTCCCGTACGGTATTCAAAATTATGTTAATAATATTCCTACAAAATTACATGACATCGTAATACCATAGAATGAAAGCGTGCCGACTACTGCCCATCCATACCGGTTTCAAATTCCCCCCAAATTACCGTATTTTTCGGGTCATAAGTTGATACATTTTTCAGCAAATCCGGCATTCACCTTATAGTCCGTTTCGATTTATATACGGAAGGTAAAAAAATGACATTCCAAAATTTATTTGGCCGTAAACCGTAGTAACTGCTAAATAATCCCATATGACTCTAAGCACGCGCTATTGTCTAAAACAATTACCGTAACTACTTACGTTATTCCAATCGAAATATTCGTCAACATTTCTTAGCGTGTTTATTTATTTAAAAAAATATGATCATAACTCCGACAATATGCCATCAGACGTATTAGATTCGGCATGTTTATACCTCTTAATTCCACGTATCTCGCGAGATTTCTACTTTCATTTTGCGTGTGTGTGAAATAGCTTTATTTAACTTCGGCTTTCACTAAAGAAATATCACAGACAAGTTATCGGACACAATGTATATATTGATTTGGGGTGTTATATACTATTAGGATATGTGACATATGACTAATGTCTACGGCCGACATCAAGGAGATTAAAACGTGAGACAATGGAGAAATCACGGGTTAATCACGTAGATTCAGTTTATTTGATTGACATATAGTCCGACAAAGGAGAAGCAATGGCTTCTGTTCCGGATTGAATTGATGAATTGTCCGACAAAGAAATAAGTCGGCCAATCAAGGCATATTAAGTAGTTAATCAAGGTAGGTGTATAGACGGTATAAAACGATAAATATGTTGATCCCTTAATTACCCAGGCCTTCACGTTTTGAGGCGCACTATCGCTCTCGCACTCCATCGCTCACCTAAATCCCAATCCAGGTGCGTTTTTTTTATTGCTCTCCTCGGTCCTTCATAATCGCTCTCCCCAGCTGCGTATTTTATTTCCATAGAAATTGACAAAACATCGGTCGACTCGGCGCGTGTCATTCATGTTTACGTCTGAAACGCTTCCCATTAAATAGCTCCGTACCGAGTAATTTCATTGATCAATATTTATAAATCTACACATACACGTCCAATCAGCAATTCGGTATTATAATCATTCACACAATCTATTCTCGATTATCCACGCATTTTAAAGGCTAAGAAATCGAAGTAAATGTTTGGTCTTGGCTATGAAGACGACAGCTTCGTCATGACAACAGTTACTTCCGCCCAGACCAAGAGCTTTTTCTCCATCATGCTCGCATGGCCTTTGATAAGTGCCGTTTTTTAATTGAATAGATGTTTTCAAAGTTCTTCGCTGTTTTGAATATTAAATGCTCTATATTTGCATCTATGCCACCGGTGAAAGGGACTAAACATTGTGTGTCATTGAAAACTTTCAAAAGTTGGAACACTGAAAACTTTCAAAAGTTGGAACACTGAAAACTTTCAAAAGTTGGAACACTGAAAACTTTCAAAAGTTGGAACACTGGTAAACAAATAGGATATAGCAATTGCGATGCTAACGGATCCATATCTAAAATCTGGTGCAAGTTATGTGCAAAGCATGGAATGAACATCATAAAGGATGCGAAGATTCGGGGCCAAGCCAGGGCAGATATACAAAAATACATTTGTGGCACAGAATACGTGACAAAGCATAATGTATTTAGACTCTTGTCTTCAGCAGCTACCGAATACGAAAATTTGTGTGGCCGAGGTGGGGACCGTCAACAAACAACTTCAAGTTCAACTGCTGTTGATAATAATGATGATGGGTCAGCAGAAAGTGGTATTAATGTCAACCCTGGTTCTAACAAGAACATTCCACGCCAACCTACTAATCAAATGCAATGAACAATATATCAAAAGATGGTTAAAAAAACTATTGAGTGCCGCTTACACGCTTGCTGTGGATGGCCTCCCCTTAAGCCATTTTAAATCTTTAGTCACTGATGATAAATAGTGGTGCACAACTAATTTCTAGATATGACAATTCAAACCGGGCAAGAGAATTTGTACAAACTATTGCAAATGCAGTCCGTGAGAAAGTGGCTGACATCATAAATTCATCAGTTTCACTTTGTTAACTGATGGTTCACAAGCGTGAAAAAC